AGTGCAAACATATTGTGTTTTAGTAGTCAAGGTAGTCCTAAAACGATACATTCGCAAAAGAAAGACAAACGACTAGTTGTAAATTACCTTGGCTTTTGGTGATTGTTGTAACTAAAATTTCTTTGTACTTTCCCTTTTTCAAGGCGTCACTGATTCTTTGTCGCTGTTCTCTATAAGGGGTTAAGATCACAATACTTTCTGGATGCACCCCCTTTTTCACTAAGCATCTGACCACGTTAGTCTAAAATATAAAAATCAAAGTGAATAAATACACCAAACCTTTTTTTGTAAAATAAGGAGAAAGACACTGGGGTTCCGACCGATTCAGTGAGCAGCCTATTGCAATCGAAGGGTTCCATTCAAACTTCCCATGCAACTGTTAATTTTTCATATAATAGCCTTTATTTAATTATCACCCAATAAAAAAAGCACTCCTCGCTTTAGCCGTAAAAAGTAATTTTAAACATTTTCTTGCAGTAATTTACGCCAAATTGTCCATCTATCTGTTCACATGCCCTAGATTTCAGTGTTGAAAAAACTGCCATTAAGTCACGAATTTCAACCTCAATAATAGTTTTAGTGTACTGACGAATTGATAAGTACTTCGAGATGTTCTAGTTTTAATCCAAAATAAGAACGTTGCCAAATCTTTTCAAGGAAAACTAAATAGCATTAACGTCGATGCCGACAACACCGCGGCAAAACGTCGACGCATGCGCCAGGTTGAGCATTTCCGATCAGCAGCCGACATAAAAGGTTTTGTTGAAAGCTCCCGCGCGCTCAGCTTCACCCTGTATGCAGCTTGTGGTTCAGTTGTTCTGCTTCATGCTGGTCCTGTTTTTGACTATTTTGTAGTTAATGAAATTGCTTTTATGGATAACCAGGCACAGATCACTGAAACAATTAGTCGATTAGATTCACAAAAGGTAAGTTGATAATAACTTGTGTAATTTTGGCTGATTTGAGCGCCAGGTAAACTGATTTTCTTTCACGAAAACAAGACAAACAAAGTTTTTGACAGCCATTTTTCACTTAACCTGACTGAAACTAAGACATAAACAGCTATCATTGCAAGCTTGTGTATTGTAGTTCTTCAATTTCTCAGTCTTAATGTCTTAAAGCTTCTTAAAACCGCTTCGAGCTTTATTTGGAAAACGACAACACACAATCGCTTTGTAGTTTTATTTACCAGTGAGTTTTACCGTGTTTTGAAATGAAGTTCTTCCGAGTTGATTGCCATGAAACATAAACGTAATTAAACTTTTGAGGTTGGCAGCAAGTTGACAACTCTATTTATTTATTTTTTTCATTCTAAGAATCAGAGAGCGAAAGATGCCTTGTATTTAGCAGCTGGACGTTTCGTGTTTGCATGAGATGCAGTCGAGCCGCACAGCCTTCAATTTTTGAGGTCTTTAACCAAAGGAAAACCATGTAATAGAATTAAATAGGCATTTTCATGAAGGAAAGTACGTTTTAAGGCATGTTTAGTTTCCAGGCACCGAAAGCTCCGGGTATTCGTGACTGCTGTCATCAAAGTCGAGGTTGTCATTAAATCCCGCCCATCTTTTGTTTTGAGTTCTTATTTTCTCTGATAATAAAATAATTATTGAACGGGCTAAACTTTTATTTCTTGGTTCTAGTGTTAATGATAATAATGACGTCTTTATTTTGGATTCTTTCATAAGTATTGCTATAGACTCTTTTCTTAGTTATCTCCTTCTCTAAAATTAACTTCTCCCAAACCAGTAGCATGCAAGAAAGCCACTAAAAACAAATTTGCGCGTCTTGTCGAGCGCTGGCGACCTACAAACTTCAAACATCATTTTCAGCGTTGGTGCAACACTAGAAAAATATATCAGCTGTAGAATGAAGTGATTTTTTTCGCCCCTTTTTTTGTCTGTTTCTTCCTTTTTTGCTTTTAACCTGGCGCGACCGCAAAATTATGCTTACGCAATTTGTTTATATACTAGACCGGAAAATATAAGCTCGAACCGGATGTTAAATTTTGTGCTCATGCGCAGTGCGTTTTACCGCGGTGTTGATGCCGACAAATTCTAAAACAAGGCTGTCATTCATCTTGGCGGAGGATTTTAGTCTGAAAGTTTGAAGACCATCGCACATCACACCTACCACTTTTTCGACTTCTTTCGTGTTTGCTTTCGACTGTTCATTGCTGTGAGATGTCTTGATAGCACTTGTCTCCTCTTCTCCCTCGACGTGACAAAATGCTAAAGGAAGGTCTTTTGCTGGTTGCAACCTTTGAGCAGGCCAAAAGGGCTGTACAAAAGGATCTTTATTTGGCACAGTTTGATCGGTTTTCAGCTGCCCCTCATAAAAATAATCTGAGGGAAATCTGCAGATATTTTTATGCTAAAAATTGAAAAGGGAAAACGGAAGTAAGTTATAAGAGTTGGTTAACTGTAGGCGCCAGGGCCCAGTTACTCGAAGGCCGATTGGCGCTAACCCGTGATTCAATTTTGATCCAGGTTTCTTTTTCTTTTGTCCAAAAACATTTTCTCGGATAATATTGTCTTCTCTTGTTACAGCATCCAATCATCAAATTGCACATGAAAAAAATTAAACTGAATTTGCTTTTCAAGCTTTTATATCTTAATGCAAATTTTGCACTAACCCTGGGTTATCTTAACCTGGCTTTGAACAACCCGACCTAGTATCCGAACTATTGAGACTCAACCCAAAACCAGTTCTTCCACTTTTGGCTCTATCACCTGGTTCCTTTTTTATCATTATTCTCTAACTAACTCTGGGCGGGAATAAACAAAATTTTAATTGCTAAAAATTGAATCTATGGTACTAACATAAAGCAATTCCAAATCAAAAGTCAGTCTATCCTACTTGATACCACTGTGAGTAGGGCAAAAACGCATGGTTCTCTCACCATTCTGTACTGCAACTCTAACATTATGGATCGTGTCGAAAGCCGCTCAAACATAGAGACGTTTAAGCCAAGTTTCTTTGCCATATCGTCCCGAATTACTGGCTGTAGCTGCTTGTGATCACCAATCAGAACTACTTGACGCGCTCCTGAAAACCTGATTGGCACGAGCGACTCAAGCTCCAAGCACATGCCGCATTCATCTACGATGCATTGGCGGATATTTTTACAACACGAAACTATTCCGCTGCCAGCAACTGCGCATGTGCACAATATGACCTGAACTCCAGATGATGTAAGCACCCACTCCTTGGCTCTGCCTATCAGCTGATCATTTTAATAATAAATCATTCAAAGGCATGTATTAGCAAACGAGTATATTGAAATTTTCTGTGTATTTTCTTTCGGTGCGAAAAAAATCGTAATTGAATCTGATTTATGCGCAAATGTTCGTATTTTCGCGCTAATGAATGTATCTTCGCCCTATTGGTCGCCGTTTCACGCAAAAGACTGTGTATTTTCTCGTAATGAACAGCAAAAGGTGTAAAATGTACAGAACAAGGCAAAATTAAGCTCGTCGAAAACACAAATCTTAAGACTAAACTACAAAGTTTTCTATAAAATTGTAGAACGGCCACTAGTTCAATACTTTCACTGATTACAATTAGTCTCAAATAAACGTTATCTGAATGTAATTAATTCACTGCTAAAATATTCAGTTGGCTTTTTCTGTGAAATAACATTAAGTCATTCGTCAAGTTCTTCTAATGCTTCAAGGCCAGTCACTTTCATTCACCACGCAGTTATTTTCCTCGTAGAATTCTAGCAAACTCTGCCACATAGCGTGCTTGCTCAGAAGAATCTTATTACCTAGATAAAAAGAAAATAAATCATCCACGTCATGAATTGCAACTTTCAAATAACTTTTGATGACGTTCATTTGACACTGTAGAATTAATCAAGGACCTGGTACCTCAGGAATAGAACTCATCACCTTGTTATTCAGTTTTCCGTTCATATTAACTAAATACTAACGCTTCAATTTCGTCAAAAAACCTCATCTTCCAGGTACTCTGGTTTGGTCTATTTTAATTGCAAAGGACTTCAATTTCTAAGGGACTTTTAAGTCACTGGTGTCTGCGACTTAGCCATGCATACGTTACGTTTATTGGGCACCTAATTGATCAATTTATTCAAGCGGATTTTAAACAGCAAAGCAGCTCTGTACTTGTTGTGCCAACTCACGCGCAATAACTTAACTAACTTAACATTACTGCAAAGATTCAGAATGTGAATGATAAGTTTAGTGCAATAACCGACCAACCCTTAATGAAAATGCTGACTTTTTTACGGGTATGTTCACACGTTGTTCAGATTTCTGTTACCAAATTCTTCGCAGACGATCTGTTTGTGTAGTAACGATAACTTCTATCAGATTCACATTGTGTATACTCGGGACAGTATACTCATGTCAAATGATTGTTCTTTGTTTACCCATGATATAAACTACACTGACTTACCAATGATGCAAAGCCCTCTGCGTGCTCGTGTTATTCCCACGTTCATCTGATGGTCATCTGTTACGAATCCCAAATGTTCACGGAGCCAGCTGAGAGAAGGCTCTCTTTCGATGTCTTCCTCCTTCATGGAGCGAACCAAAGATATGATGACGTAATCCCATTCACTTCCTAAGAATTAAGATTTAATTAAATTAATGGAAAAAATGAATATTCAAAATAACTAGATACA